CAGTTAACAATTATTAGTTTTTGGTCCGATGTAGGCAGGATGGGCGTATCTTGAAGTCTAGCAATTGTGTGCTTGTTTTGGGATTTAATATTATAATTTATAGGATCCCAAGAAGATGGTAACACCCAGTCCCTCGTCATAGTAATCTTCTCCATATCATCCCACAGCAAAGTCATAAGAATCGTGATCTTCCAGTTCTCTTAGTTGAGTTTGGGAACTGTTTTCTTCCTAGCAAGGCATCGCTGGTGGAAAAGTGCTGCTTCTTTTCTAAATGCGATCATTACGCTGGCACCGTCATTAGTTGTATAGGCGAGCGGGCGGATTCGTCGTCGGCTCAGGACGCGAGAGTAAGTACTCTCTCTCACTCACTCCAGAGTGTAGTCGTGCGACTTGCGTTGCATAGTCGAGCCGCATTGCTATAGCATCCACCACGTGAAAAGCGTGGGCTATTTAAATTTTTTTGACATAATATTATTTAACAAAGATTTATAATGAAATACCAAAAAGTCGTAAATACCGGTTTCCGTTCACTCAATACCGGTATTTTAAAGCTTTCGTTTCAGTCCGGTATCTCTGTATTTTCGAGATTCGGGATCCCGTTTTGCGACCCCTAGTAGACACACTCCCAATCTTTACAACGTTGTTGACGAGAGACTTGTGGACGATAAATCCGACACCTCCTTGGGACAGATGGTCGCCCTCCCGGTGATAGAACAAATTGCCGGACTCGAGGATTACCGTGTCCTCCCCCTCTCTTCGGACCTCGGATAACCCAATAATATGCCACCTCTTCTTCCAACTCCAGTATCTTCTCGTCAGTCCTCAGAGTGCTTGCGTTATATGTTGCCAGGTCGAGTCGTCGTATGTGGCAACCGAACCTCCACCGGAGATTCTTAGCACCCCCTGCCCCGCCGTTACCATGGTCGCCACCGTAGCCAGGAATAGCGCGGCCGCCGGGGACTGGGGGCCGTTTGTTTGAGTCGTTACTCATGGGAGGATATTTGCCATATTTGCCACGCTTGGCGAGCGGGTTGGCAACCGCAGTTTTTTATTATATCATTGCTGTTATCAGGAAGATGCTGCTGCCCATCTCCTTTCGGTGTCCCTCTGTCGCCTCTTACGACACCCACGGGAAGATATGGGGTAGTGGATATTCTCAACCGCCACTACACGGCATAGACATAGATCTACATTTAATATCTATTAAGAATCAAAATGTAGATTCGTCACCTCCGAGGTCTTAGAAATCCCTCGTTACACCACTACACGAACACGGTACGTGATTATAATTTGTGTTCAACGATTTTATAATAACAGGGAAATATATAAGTTCTTCTGTGACACTTATCTGAACTCAGGTTCAAAGCTAAATATCATTCTCCTATTATCGGTCATTGGAATGCACGCGCAATTAATGCTATGTTGCCTTACGTAAAATCGATATCAAACGCATATTAATACTTTTTGTCGTCCGTACATTGGGTTACCATACGTTCAGGATTTTCCAGACACATCCGGATTGCGGAATTTTAAGATGACCACAATTTTTTAAATAAATGAAGGAAGGACATAATGAGTAAAATAAATATTCATAAATTAAATCAATTTTTACAAATAGGCATAATTAAGTATTCAACATAGTTATTATTACTTAATTCATTCACACTGAATGACCTTTTTTCCGTCTAGAAAAAATAGGGTGTACATGTGAACGGAGAAGAAGCCAATATATAAAAATAGCACTGATATTTTACAAAAAATATTAACAAACATTTTGAATTAAACACTTGAATTTTTTTTAACAATTACTTTGCTCTTTGCCCTCGAGCCTGTGACCCTGCGAAGTGACAACGTAAAGATGCCTACTAAATTTTTTTTATTGCCGTTCGTAAAGTAGGGTGGATATGATTTGAATTTCGATAAATTTTAATTAATTTATTTATTTAATTCAAAATTTTTGTTTTTATTTTTTGTAAAATATCAGTACCGTAGGCTTCTTTCTACTCCGTTCACATGTTACACTCTATTTTATTCCAGACGGTAAAAATAGTCATCCAGTATAAACATGCAAAAAATGTAGAATATTGGTGTCGTAAAAGATTCCACTATGTATCCCGTGAGTGTCGTAAGATGACAGAGATGACAGAGGAAAATGAAACAGATGGGTAGCAGCATCATCTTGATAACAACTCAAAGTAATAAAATACTGCGGTTGCCAACCTGCCTCCCAACAGTGGCAACTATGCCAAGTATCCCCCTAAGACAGAATTTATGGGGAAACCTGTCCAGAAGTCAACTTTGGATAGTTATTAAGAGTTGTAATGATAACGACGTAATTGACATGTTGCAATATTGCGTATTTAAAGGAAAATATCTGATATTCTTCTGGTATTTTTTTATCTGTTATTGTGGTATTCTGGGCTTTAGTATAGTTGCTGATGAATTTGCTTAATCCGTCATTACATAGTACCTAATGAATTATAAATAAGTAGTTACCCCACACTAGAAATCTCCTGTACTCGTAATATAGCAGTGCTCTAAATACTTAAATTGCATATGGACAAACATTCAGATCAATTATTTATTTGTAGCCCGTAATAATAATCGTTACGTGAATTCGATTCCGGAATCGAACCCGCGTCCTCTGGCGTCTCAGCTACATATTTAACCAATGAATTTCCGAGCTGATATTAGGCTGTACTAGTGGCTTAATTGATATGTAATTATCTTTTTTAATCTAATCTTAATAAAACTGTAAATTTTCGTTGTTTAAATGTAATTGGTATCTCAGAAATGACTGTAACAATTTGAGTGAAATTTTGACTATAATTATATCGAATACTAGTTGTTCCCTGCGACTTCGTCTTTCTTATTTATTACGATTAAATTTCATGGGTTTTTATTGGATGGTTTGATGGAAAGTGGATGTTTTGGGCCCATAGACATCATATACATCTATCCTCGATTAAGAATCAAATTGCAGATGCATTGTCACCCCAAAGGACTGACATGGAATGCCTCGTTTACAGTAAAAAGGGTCTCTAGTTCTCTACACTCACCAAATGAAACACATTACAACAGCATTAAGCTGCTATTTTACGCTGGCATTCTGTAAGTTTTTTACATGGCGAAATGATTCAAACTGACTAAACCCCATGCTGTTCCACCTTTGCCACATATTTGCAGGGTCACAGGAACGCTCGCACACATCTGGGACCACACCGGCCCCTCAGTGGTAGAGGCAACTCCTCCCTCTTCTTCTTAGGTAAGATGCACCAGAACACAGCCCCTAAATTTTTGGTCTATGACAGTAGTTGAATGGATTTGAACCCATGACTGTTTAAGTTCACGGTCCTTGCTTTTCCATTAGGTTTCTATCGTTTAATTTAACAAATAATGCCTCCCAATGGCTTAGTAATCAATGGAAACCAATTTATTACAGTATAAATGAGATGCACCGGAACACGGCCCCTAAATCTTTGGTCCATGACAGTAGTTGAATGGATTTGAACCCATGAACGTTTCTGTTTGCGGTCCTTGCTCTTCCATTAGGTTTTTAACATTTAATTTAACAAATAATGCCTACAAATGGCTTGGTTATCAATGGAAACTAATTTATTATAGTATAAATGATGTATTTTAATAATTAATTAGCAATGTGTTTAATCAGCCGTAGACTCATGTTAGACTAAAAAAATGATTCATCAATTTTGGGAACACGATAAAGATCTGTTCAAGTATAAAAGTGAGTCATATATAAGTATATCTCGTCATACCCAAAAATATAATATGCTGCTTTTTTATAACAGAATTCTGTGCGATCCTTTCCAGCTGAGCATACCTGGACATAATATGCTCAAGCCAAAATGCATTTCAGTGTGGTTCTACCATATATATATAATAATTATACTAATGTTGGGCTTTCAGAGATTAAGGTAAGGGTATACATGTGTAGTGGTAGTAAAAGAGTATTCATTAATGAGGTAACAAAGGAAAACTGTAATTGAAGACGGTCAGAGGCATTTTCCTGATAACAATTCAAAGTAATGATTATATTTAACTACAGTGCCAATTTGTTTTTATTATTTTTAGTAGTTGCCAACCCGCTTGCCAAGTGTGGCAACTATGGCAAATATGAGGCAATGTATGGGGGAAACCCACATTCTGCTCGGACTTTAATAGGCTGTAACAGTGTCAATCCCGCTAAGCATAGCAACTATGGCAAATATAATATATTCCTCCTATGAGCCAATTTAAGGAGTAGGCCTATATTCAGCAAAAGCCTTTTGATGGGTTACAATGAATGAATAAGAAAGCTCAAGATTTTATTAAGATACTAGCTCGCCAAGCAGACGTTGTTCTGCTCTTTTCGACTACACTTTGTCATGCCTTATTAAAAATCCTTATTTTCGCAAAAAAGTAAATTGTGGTCACTCATTTACAAAAAAATTATCCTATCTCTCAAGTTGGACCGAACTGCACACAGTGTGCAAATTGGATTAAAATCGGTTAAGTAGTTTAGGAGTCAAAATACAACATCACACATAATTTATATATATTAAGATAATAAGGTTGTCAAAAATGCAATAAAAATTTCAAGACAGTCATGATGTTACACAGTAGAATATGACATGCAAAAATGTCTGTTAAAACTTTGATTGAACAATAGAAACTAATAGTAACTTGCCTCAAACCATACTTTTTTGATAATAGCTATTTATTCAAAAATAGAAAAATAATTTCCTCCGCTTTAAGAGTTTTTCCTTTATCATACAGTTTTCTCTATATGCAAATTATATATTTAACATACAGAAATTACATATACACACATTCAGACCCAGAATGCTTCCATTATACAACTGTATCTCTCATATTCCCAAGTTAAAATTTCTTGACTTCCAAATAAATGAAAAATTTATAAAAAAAAAAGAAATTATAATGCTATTTATTCTTAATTACCTGGAATTTATAAATAGAAAGATACAACTGTGTTTACTCACCAAGTTAACATGCCACCTATTCCGAAACCAATCACAACTGCTGGATTATTTACTGAAACTCCTAATGCTTGTAACAAAGCAGATAGCTCCTCAACTGCTTTAGGTGGTGCAAGGTCCCTTCTATAACCTCCTTCACTACCACCAGTTCCTCTTAAATCTAATGTTATCACATGATGACCACTTTCAGCAAGCCGCCGCACCACAGATGACCAGGATGGCACCCACAAGTTTCCAGCATCTGGTGCATCTCCAAGAATAACAACAATTTGGCCATTTTTTGGACCTGTTTCTACATAGTGATATTTTACACCCTGAAAATTAATAAGAATTTATTCATTACTTATATGACATTAAAATATTTTAATGTTACAAACAAGAATATTCTTTAAGACATGAGATACATGGTCAGTTTAACTACATCATAAATATAAAATGTAAACTAATCTTATCTTCCTATGGACTTTAACCATGGAATGACAAGAGGGTTCACTATGCCTAATTTATACACTTTTAGGGAAAATAAAAGGCTTATCTTATATTAAAAAAATATTTCTGTTAAAACTAATTACCCACCATAACTTTTATATAACAATGGATGCCTATTGAAGAGTCTACGGTAAGTTCAACCGGTGGAAAATTCTTTGAGGATTTTCTGCGGTGTCCTTTCCATAACCTTCGTATTGCAAACTGTACCATTTGCCAAAGCCCTATAAACACGCACTTAATTAACAATTCTATAGCGCTCCACCCTGAAACTGCCTTTAAAACCTGCTGATCTTTTGCATTCATAATTGTGAAACTATCTGCGGGAATGCGCCTCGGTTGTAATCGATACGCGATAATGTTAAATGTTAATTACTGCGCTAGGCGCATTCTTTCTTATCAAAAACTTTATCGTAAATGGTTTGAAGTAAACGACAATCCGGTTTAGGGATGTCCAAGGATGTCGATATGTTGATATGTCGATATTCATCGCCGTTATCGAAACATCGGTGACCCACCTATATTATAATGTACTCTGTGATCGGTGCTCAGCGTTTACACATTGATGTTTTACCATTGATATCAGACCACCTATTATAGTTTGTGTATCAGATCCTGTAAACATCCATTTCTCAATGGTGCATAGAATAATTTCAATGTAGATAATAAATAATACTTATTGAAATGATCAATAACTTTCAATTTCGGTATTCAACCCTGGACTCATTTCTCTAAAGTCCTTAAGACCTTACCTCAGCATAGTACTGGTTTACACACACACACACACACACACACACACACACACACACACGCGCACGCGCACGCACACGCACACGCGCACGCGCACGCGCACGCACACACACACACACACACACACACACACATATATATATATATATATACACATACATATATATGTGTGTGTGTGTGTGTGTTGTGTGTGTGTGTGTGTGTGTGTGTGTGTGTGTGTGTGTGTGTGTTGATGATAACTAAACAACCGGCACGCTATGATGGTCGTTTCGACGTTTGTCCACTCATGAAGTTTCGTATTAATTATAACTACATTTGAAGGAGCAAATTGCTGTTCTTTATTGTCAATAGTGACGTGCATTTAGTCGTACAATTTATCGAATGTATTATTTTAGGACACAAAATTTATTTATTACATTGATTTCTAAGCTATATATATTATGATCCCGCGAACATTATTTTTTATTTTTATAAGATTATAATAATTGGTGTACTTATTTACCGCATAACTCAGCATTTGTTTTTCGAAATTCAAAATTAAAAAAAAATGAAATTTAATACGATCGTCACATAGGATCGCTGGCCACACAACTAACACATCCGGCAAACTCGCATCAATGCTCTATGCAAAACAAAGCACTTTCGACTTGACATTGCTTCGAAAAGTACAAACTGTGAGTGCACTGCGATTGTGATATAGTTTTGACCTGGCTTTTGATTTTGTATATTGATTCTGCAGTACTGTTGACCCTTGCTCATTAATTTGGACTCTGTTTATGCCTTTTATTGTGGAATTCGTCAATATGTCCGAACGTACGCAGAGAACTGTTCTAAACAGTCAGACATATGACATACGCCTTCATAGGGCCAATTTTACCTATAACGTCAGTGGTTGAACCCGTGGCTGATGCGCTTAATATTGGGCAACGAACTGTTAGACGAATAACTAAAGAAAAATATGGCGAGACTGGCACAGAAGAAAATAAACTTAACACACCAAAAAAGAGAAAACAAGCATAACCAGTGTTAGGCATCGATAGTTTTGATACCGATGCCATCCGAAGACATGTGTATGGCTACTATTTACGAAAGGATTATCCAACAAGAAAAAAGTTAGTGCAATCACTGAAGAAAGCTGGATTATTCTTCGGTGGGGAAAGTTCTTTAACGAAGATTTTGAAGACCTTTGGATTTCGATACAAACAATGTAACAAACGCATAATATTGATGGAAAGATTTGATATCGTGACGGAAATGAAAGAAATTGAAAATCGGCAAAATGTTGTGTTTTTGGATGAAAATGGCTTAATGCTAACCATACTGTAAGCCGTTCTTGGACCGATGACATTGCAGCATCTACGTCCACAGTTCATGTTGGAAAAGGATCGCGACTTATAATTTGTCACGCCGGAACCATCAAGACTATCATAAATAAATGAATGGAAAAAAGTTTTATTAAATGGTTTACCCACTGACCTTTATATATATACAAGTATGCTGGACTGGCTATACCATACAAAATGTCTATGTCAATTTGAAGCACCCCTAACGGTTGTCTGGAAACTAAAATTGACATAATATGCCAAAGTCTGTTATCTTATTTAAATTGTCATATTTAAAAAAATCTGTATTTTGAACTTTTAAACTAAAAAAACGAAAGTATTTTATGTTGTTTGGTTGTGTATAATATTAGTTTCATAATAATAATTATTTTTAATAACAATGAGAGTGTGCGTAATCTGTAAAATTCGTTACCAAAAGCGAAGTGGTATAACATTTCACAGTAAGTGAATTTGCAGCTAATATTAAACAAATTAAAACTATTTCATAATATAAGTACTTAAAAATTTGTTACTAATCTTAATATCATATATACCAACATGTTTGGCTGTATATTACTGAGTATTGATAAACAACAAAATTCAATAGGGTTGTCGAATTCCTTGTCTATAATACTTAACGATGTTCTTTCCTACCCATATCTGTTAACAAACAAAGTTGCCAACAACAGATGATTAACAAATGTTTATTAATTAACAGGTTTTCAACCGAACCTAGACTAAAATTATGGCTTTAAAAGCATAAATATTGTGAATTGGCGTCCGAAACAAAATTATCATATTTGTCCTGAACGTTTCACAGACGACTGTTTTATTAGACATGAGAACTGCACCACTTTGAAAAAGTGCAGTATTTCGACAATAGTTTCTGGTAGTACCAGTACTAGTAAGTATAAAAGTATTAGATTATTATTTCGAATGTTTTTTTATTTCTTCTTTCCTCGTTTTCCCACAAACTCAAGGGCCATAGCCAAGTGTCGAAAGTTGACTCCACAATGTGAAATTACAAATTCACTTTCGGAAATAAGTAATTAATCGAACTGAAATACCTCAGATGCGCAGCGACATCCATTGCTTCAGAATACCTTTTCGTAAAAATAAGTTTCAATGAGGTCTAATAATTTTCCGCTCACCAGATATCGCTAGTTGACACTGAGGTGAAGTTTTTTGTTACACAATGTAATTTAATTGAGAAGTTATTCTTAAATAATAGTTTATCAGTTCCTGGAGTTTGTTCTGTAATTTTTTTACACTTTTTAATTCTTTCGGTTTGGTTTATTTGTTTTTAATCTAATTAATATAAAATGTCACTAATGGTACGGAGAGAAACAACAACCTTTACACTTTTCGAACAAATTAAGTTCCACGTTATGAAATCCAATAAATATTACACCTCATTTCTAAGTAGCATCGCCCTGGTGGCAGAAGAAGTCATGGATGTCCTCATTGATATCAACAAAGTAACAGATTAAAAATACAAACTACTATCAAGTATTATTATTTTTACAAGCAATCTCAATCAATGGAATATTTCATAAAACTTATTAATTAAATGTGACAAACATAACATGTCTTTGAGGTTTTTTAAACAAACGTTGAGGTTTTTATTTCGATGTTTATCAGATATCGATGTTCCCTTACTGATATTGACGATGTCAACATCGATGTTTTTGTAATGCTGCACATTCCTATCCAGATGTCAATGTCAACAAACAGATGCTATTGTTGGGGTATGTTCCGAAATTATGGAGTGTAGAGGTTAGGAGTCCATACTCTGTATAAAAAAGTGTCCGTAGGAAAGCGCCAAGTAATGGTGGCGCCACTGTAGCTACAGTCTAAATTTAAAGAACCTTTTTTAATTTTTTTATTGCACAGGCTTTCACCATATTTCTTTTTACAATAATTATTTTATTGCTTTCAAAATTTTTAATTTCAAAATCACTCTCAACGTATTTTACCGCGATTTATCAATCTTTGTAGCTACTCGAGCGCTGTTGTGGAGAGTTTTTGAACTGTTATATACTGCTAACTGATGGACACATTTTGAACTATTCTTGTATGGGAGATTATCTTCCTTACCTCTATACTCCATGTCCGAAATGTTTTCAGTATACCAGTATACTGGCGACTGCAAATGACGTCATTAATTGAGGCCATATTGTACTGGCCACTGCCATATGCTATCGGATATTCCGCTATATTAAAACAATTTTTAATTCAGTGTACGCTGAATGAACCATGCCGGAATTTGTTTTTATTTATTCAAATACAAAAATTATAGGATAATTACTGCTGGTATCTCCATTCTTTACAAATTAATTGAAATAGGATATAATGGCTTTTGGAGCACAAAATGACAAATTAATTGCCAACATTTTTCCAATATGGCGCAAATGTTTATTTATTTATTTACATCCAACTTATATCTAAAATTACAGGTTTCTATCCAATGCGATAGATAAAGCACTATTTACAATCCTACATTACCTATGTATAACGTCATATACTGTCAAATGTTTTGAAAGAATCATCAGTATGGCGTTGAATTATGGCGTCATTTGCATTGGCCCATAGATATTGTTGCATGAATAAGTCAACTAGCGCCATCTAGTGTCAGGAACGAGAGCGAGGGGAGCATCGAGAAAATGACATCACAAATCGCTCAACTGACAGCGCCTAGTCGAAACTCGAACGCTCGGTACCTTCCGCGTGTTTACTTGAACATTCTGGATATTTCTTTGCTAATTTAAATATATAGGCGCTGCAAGATGCGATGGAAGCAGTGTTGATTTGGGCGAAACAAGCGAAGCTTCGGAGTGGAATTAAGTGAATTAGTGTGTTTAAATTATTAGTGCAATTAAAAAATCAGAACTCAACTCTAACAATATATTATAAACTCCGAAATCTATGCATTGGCTAGTACGCTGGGTTCTATTTTGGAACATACCCATTATGGAGTGTAGAAGTAAGGAGTACAGACTAACTAAACTAGTAAAAAGTGTCCATAAAAACCTTTAAATAAGGGTGGCGCCACTATAGCTACGGGGTAAATTTTAAAGAACGCACCGAAAAAAATATTAGCGGGATAGACGACTTTTTCAAGGTTATGTTTACTAAATAAAA